CGCCGTGACCAACAAACAGACTCAAGTCCTCCGGGGGGCTGTGAGATCATTGAGAGTTGAGGAAGACCTCAAGTACAGAATACCATATGTGACACATAATACCTATCTGGGTGGCTGACTCGGCTAATTAACGACAAACAGTTCGGTGAGCGCTATGTTCTGGTAGATCCGCAAATACAAGTGAGTAAGTATGTATACATGCACAATTCAAGCGGACCAATGAGTCAGATCCTCGCCACATGCTGCGGCATCGCTGATCAGCCTACCGGCTTCAGAGCAGTGCTAGCAGTCCATCAGTACAGACTTCAATTATAGTTTTACAAAAGACGCGCCTGGTGTTCTCGGTATTGTTGCCCTTATAAATCGTCTGGGCGAAGTGGTTCATATCACTGCTATCAGCGATAATGTGGCCGGTAAAGATACAGCCAAATCGTTTCTCGACTCGCCAGCATCATATAGCGGCAATTGATGTATCTGAAATAGATTCGGCATTAAGAGCGCTAAATATTGTCTGACAAAATATTACAGCAAGTTGGGTAAATACCTTTAAGGTACTTGGCATCAGATTAGATATGTCGACCGACTGGGCGTGAATCGCGTCATAGTTGATATCCTCCGGTGCAGTTAAGCAAGGAAACTGCAGTGCTGGATAAAATATGCACTACGTAGCGAACTCAATCATGATATTTTGCTGTGATTGACCGTCATGCACAGGGCATGCGCTTTGACTGAAACCCAAACGAACACGTTGATGCTATGAGCATGTAGGCGCACACGCACCAAAAGCGGAGCAAATAATCAATTTTGAATGCATTTATGTGTCTGCGGTCTTTAATACCAAGTTCTGATTGCTCAATGTCGAATCATTCACGGTAATAGCACTCACGCAATGATTATCGTATAAATAAACTACAGCAAATCATATGCCAATTTGAGACCGTAGAAAGGGCGCGCGATGCGCTTTATTGAAGGAAATTCTATTGATTACCCTATGTATTTGCGTTAGGAGAGCAGATGAAGTGATTTGTCAGTACAAATCTATTGCCATCTCCGCACTGCTGTCCTTCAACCCATTCAAACAAATAGACCTATCGATTTATGCAGCAACAGATGCTTCAGCAAGCAGAAATGATGTCTTCTGATGGAAGCTCATTTGCTAAAGCTTGATAACTTGTAGACATCACCCTCGCCAACAAATACTACTGTTGGCCGTCATATAACAAATGTGTCTGCTTGATTTTGGCAAGTCTAGTCTCGAAAATCTGGGTCACTCACAAGCTTGCTGTTTCGCACTATATGGGTTCCCATACACTCCAAACTGTTATTTTATATGTGGAAGATATTTTCATGCATCCGAACAAGCGTAAGACATGTCAGCCGGTCAAAACATTCACCTTGCTCGATCCACCAGACGTTTAACTAATTCAACTTCGACATGAACTGCAAACAACACCTGTGTCCATTTGCTACAAACCCAAGGTTGTATTATGTAGGATCTGGACGAATATGTACTATAGCTTTTTTAGATCGTGTATTTTAATCGGTGACTAAATGTTGTGTCCATTCATTTTCATTATAAATGCGTGCACATATAAGAACTGACCGTGATTCATCTTGTTTGATTCGAAGGATACTTGATCAAAACCACTTTGCCTCTACTACCTGAAACAACAGGGCATCAACATCCTGTTATTTATAACATACATTGATGTTCCCATTTTATTCTGGTTTTGGGTAGGTATCGCTTTGTTGTTTCTTTCCCACAACCTAGTTGTTCGGATTTGTTGGATGGTACTCTGTAAGGCAAGACCAGCTCATCCAAATTCAAAATACTAAACAGTAAATATTTGTCGATTATGATGCGAATTTCTGCATCGTTCACGGATCCTGCTTCGCTTGCACACATATATGCATTATCATGCTGGACCCACGATAGTAAAATGACGTCATTCTCACGAGATAGCTCACCTTTTGAAGAAAAATATGGTTTGAAAAATTGTTTTACGACTATTTGAGTATGAACAAATGTTAAAAGCTCAGGGCAGTCGACGCACATAGATCTTCTTGCTTCTTCTCCACGTTGTCGTGTTGCTCGCAGTGGAAAGCTGTTGATTACATCTCTACTATGAAAACTTTGATGTACATGTGGTTTTAGAAATTGATGTGATTCAAACTTGACTTGGCTGTGTCGAGTGACGATTCATACTTTGAAAATCTGAAGCAGGTGTGTCGTCTATTTCTCTCAAAGAGGGTCAACAATAGATGTAGTACGGCATAGTTGTGCAGGTGCATATTTCACAAGTTCTATTCTGATCACTCTACATACAAGACATTTATATATTTGACATGTCAGTATATAGTAGTCGAGCATTTGGGTGCTATATCCAACATCGGTCTGTACAAACTCAAAATGTCGTGGTTCATTTTCCTTGATCGTACGTGTACTCCGACAGTAGCACCATGCTGACCGTATTTTAGTGTATGCCAATGATGTTACAGTCAATGCAGCTAAAATTGTGCTCTGGTTATGGCATGCATCCTAGCTGTGGATATAACGCAGGAGTTTGTATACAGCCGTAGGATAGATCTACATGTATTGATCGCTCGTATCATCACACATGACCAAAATTTATATGGTTAAAGATGACTGTGGCAGATTGTTAGCAAAATTTCTCCAGCTTTATATATCGCCTATATTATCATTCGACTTTGTTCCCGCTCAGAAAGATTTCGACTTGATTGCTCAAGTCCTTAAAAATAGTCATGATTTGACTCTCACCCGCTGGCTATATGGAAAGCACAACGGAGCCTGACTTTCCACATTCTTGGCATTGATCAGGGTAACATTCGGGAAATAATTATTAGATAATTCAAGATCAATTAATGACTGTGGAATACACGATATGTGGTAAACTCAGGTCGAAATCACCCATGTGTATTGCATGACGTTTTACGCTCATTCACAGATTTTGCGCGAGTCATATGAGACGTGTAGCACGAGTACAAAAAACCACCGATTAGAGCTGCACAGGGCGCAGCATATTTTTCTGATCGATGCTGGAAGCTCTTGTTAAGCTGCTTAATCGAGCAGATTCGTCGATACGTCGAGTATCTATAATTGCACCGAACGCAACCGTACAATATATTCATTAAGAGTGCGCTCTTTCCTTTCGTCCCGTTTCCTAGTACGCAATATGAAAGACTTTATGAGTCATTATCCTGAGCATGCCACTTTTGCGTATTGTGATAATGAGATGGCACCATACGTCTGTATTTTAATACGAGAAGTCGTGCCCTCCAAACGAGCTTGAGCTAGCAGACTTGTCGGCATTCTGCGCTCGGGTACCTGTCCTAATGCGTATTTGGACAGTATCTTAAACTAATGAGAAGTACTTGCTCGACCAAAAGGCGAATTGCTTTTTCATTTGATGACGACCGAAGATGTTAATAGATAACTCCGAAAGCCAGTTGCTATTTCGTATACACCTTCACTAGCACATTCGTTGCCCTTTGCGTTGCCGAAGCCACCGACTGCTGTGCGGTGAGCCGAATACACCCCTCTCTAAACTAAACAAATTCGAACTAAGAGCTCTACATAATTTGCTGTTTCGCCATTCAAAAGAGTATTACCGCATCTCACATGCTTTCAGCCGCAGAACAACATTTGCATTTAATGCTGTACATACTCGTAGCTGTCACTCACTACAAGCCTCTAGTATAATCTTTGTAGATATAACTGTTTCACTCCGATGGCTATTTTGATTATTCAATTCTTTTACCGCCCTCATGAAAACATAGTAAAAACGTTCCTTTTCTTTCATAGTATATCACTGTCATGCTAGAGCATTTACTAAATAGTATTTGTATGCAAAATAATAAATTATAATAGTAAATAAAATGCACTGACGTGCGGTATAAAAATCTGGAAAGCCATTAAAGTGCGGGATGTTTTTTGTGTTAATATGTCAAATTGTATCACTGCCCATCGCATGAATCAGTGACCCCCGTCCTACCAGCTCTTACTGACTCTCTATACAATATTTCAGATACTTTTACGGGATAGCGCAATAGCCACTCGTTTTGCGTTTTTTTTCTCGATTCTTTTGCAAGTTCTTTAGGATAAGAACACGAAGAAAGGCCGCGCGGCATAGGGGGAACTGAAGAATCGCGCGTCCATCAGTCAGCAGCGGCTAGAGGGAAGAGCAACCTCATCCGTAGCGGAACTTGGACGAAAGACACGACTCTCGAGCACTTCGACTGCGTGTGTGTCTCTACTCTGCTGTGTCTCTGATCGCGCGTTTTAAAGCCGTAATTAAATCCGCGGTCGTTTCCTGTACAAATCGTGCTCTTTTGGAACTAGTTGAAATCAGATTTAGCAGGTAAAGCGCATTAGCCTTAAGAGCTGATTAAGTTAGCGCTCTGACGGTTTGCTTTGTCCTGCTTTGGCTTTCAGCATCCAGCCAGAAGCCCCTTCCTACCTGATTATAATTTACAACCTGCACACTGCTATGACTGCGTCATCCAACGACTGGATTTTCTCTGAAAAGGAGCTGCGAGCCACTCCGTCCCAACGGGATGGTATGAAGCATACGGATGAGCTTGTTCTCCGTCGTAAAGCTTGTGACTTGATCGAGAAAATGGCCAAGGCATTAGAATTACCGAAGCTTGCTCAGATTAGCGCAGCCAATTTTCTTCATCGATTCTACATGCGTCAGTCCCTCGTTCGATATGACAAGTTTCTTGTCGCGGCCGCTTGTGTACTACTGGGATCTAAAGCTGAAGAGAGTCCAAAGAAGATTGGACTTGTTGCGAAAATCTACATCGCAGTTCGGAAGGTTGTTGAAAAAGATCAAGTGTTTGCAATACAAAAGCATGATTCTCAAGCTATTGGCGGCAAGATCATATCAATGGAAGGAGTTGTACTGCATAGTTTGGCATACGAGCTCACTTTATCGCATCCATACAAATATATTAATGAGAAAGTTGACAAGGTGGTGCGACTACAGCAGCTGAACGAAGAGGAGACAAAGATTCAAAGTAGCAAGATTAAGCAGGTGGCATGGTCTTTTCTTAATGATAGTGCGTACACAGTGGCGTGCTTGCGACTTGAGTCGGTGGACTTGGCGGCTGGTGCTGTCTATCTGGCTGGGCTCTATGAGAGCTACGTGCCTGAAGATCTGTGCACTGAAAGCGGACTTCCTTGGTGGAGTGCTCTGGCGACCCCTCTTCATACCTTGCAAGGTATTACCATGACTATTATTTTGTCGTGGTTGCTGGCAATGTTTAAAGAAAGGTGTGTTCTCCCCTTTGTTTAGATGCAGCTCGCTACTTACTGAATGCCTACACGGCACCATACATTAAAACGAACGTGCTTGCAGCGGGACTGTCCAAGTTAGTATATATGTTCCACCCGCCCAAGTCAGTTGAAGCCTCTGCGTCGCTCGTTGAGGTCGATATAGTTGAGGAGCTTCCATCGCCTATCGTATCTTCACCGATGGATTCTGCTGCGTGTGTGACATCCCCTGAGTGTTGCAGCAGCCAAGGTCGATCTCCGTATGACCACGACTTTGATCAAGATGTGAAGGTGCATGTTATGGACAGCGATGAAAGTCCCCGCGAGACAGCGCAAATTCCTGCAACACCCGCGTCGTTGTTGGACAGTTTCCCTCTCGCCAACGAAAGTTCAAGTGCTGACAAGTTGTTGGGAAGCACTGCAACGACGCGTGTGGCAAATAATGGAAGACTGTCGTTTAAACGCAGTAAGGATCCCGAAAAAACATTTTTTTCTGAAAAAAAGCTTAAGCACTGCATGTAAGAGGCTACAAGTGCGATAGTGAGCCAGAGCACGTGATTTGTTAGACATGAGGCAATCAGCTTAATGGCCAAGAAACACCTCGATAGCGACACGAGCCTTTGTTGCTTTTCAGCCGCACACCACTTTCAAAAGCATCGTCAGGCGATCAAGATGTCGCCATCAGTCTAGAAAAAGTAGAAAAGCGCTAAAAACCAAATCAAAAAAACATATTTATAACAACTTGGGCTAAACAACACAGCACTTACCTTGGTCCTCCTTTCTCTTTCCTTCTGATCGACAAGGTCGAGCACGTGTAACTGAAGACTAGACCCAAAATCGTATAGACAACGATTAACCGCTTAACCAGATCATGTTGTCGTATCAATAGATCCAATCAATCGACCAGTGTAGACATTATACATGGAAGAAACTCAGCAATTCTACATGATCGGCGAGAGATGTTGCTTTATCGATGCGGAAAACGACTTGATCTACCATTTCAAACGAAATAAAAGATTGTTAGCATGCCAAATCATCGTTTAAAGCAGGTCACATTCTGTTAATACCATAAGTGTGAATCTAATCAAACAGAATAATTAAATTCACTTCCGACAAACGCCTCCTTGCCAAGTCCAAAGAAAGTTGAAAACTGCACCGCTGCGGCAAGATAATATACTTGCCGGATAACCAGATTAACATCCGGCGGGTTACCTGCTCAACACGATCAGAACCCGCAAAAAATCAGCCTGTCAAGGTTTTGTGAAATTAGCTCATTAAAAGATTAGTATGAAACTTCACATTTCAACAACTAGACAATTGTACGATAATATTATTTTCTACAGTTTCTAACCAGTCCCAGTATAATAAGGATACGAAATAGTACTATTTTTAAATTCTTTAGAGAAGAAAATGTAAATTTCATCAAGTATGTCGTCAGTTTCATATCACATACGTCAAATCTCAATTTGGAGAATTTTACAAACAACGTTGTATGTTCGTTGTGCTTAATTCTCACACTTTTCCCAAGGTTTCGTAACTGCCTCCTGAACTAGAATCTGCTCTTTCAGTAAGTCATTCGTGTCAACTGACAACTTTTCTTCGATGTCGCGTATACCTGGCACTGGCTCGCCTTTTTGAATGAGATCCACTATATCGGTAAATGACTTTGGATATGACGGTTCGCTATTTCTCACCACTTGAGAGGAGTTTCTTGTAAAAATTGATAGGTTTTCCTCATCAACATCCTCACGTTTATGCAGGGTTGTGACCTTAGTTTCCACATTTTTGACAGAATGAGCGGAATTTGTAGCAGTAGTTTGCTGCTCTAATCGCTCCATAAAAGCATCAAGACTTGTGGATGTTGAGATTGATGGATCATCAAAGATATTGCGCTGCTCTGTTTGAGTTGTTGGGATTGTTAAAGCATCGCACTTTATCTTTTCTTGCTTTGCAACAAATTTATCAAGACTTGTGCGAGCAATCTCTTCCAGCGAGAAATTAGTGTACGATGACTTTGGGTGAGAAAGAGACTTCAGAGCTTTGAGCAATGCACGTAAAATGGCAATGTTATCATCAAATGCACCAGTCGTTTTGCTTGCTGTATGCCATTTCCACTCCATATTGAGACCTACTGTCTCGAATCCAATAGACTTGAGCAATTCTTCGTGGTGCTGCGCAATAGATCATACCGGTCATATGCCAACTTGTATTATCACCTGAAGTAAATGAATCAAAATTTACCTTAAGAGGCTCAACTTTCTGCTTAAAATTCGCATTCCCAGGAGCAATGCGACGGTAGCGAGGCACATCTGGATTCTACAATTGGTGGCACACTGTTAAATCTTTGATGCGCCGATAAATTACACGCTACGTTGTGATAATCGTACCTCAATAAGATTCGTGACGTACATGATGAGAATATCCGATGCAATTTTCAGTTGATCCAACGAATTCTACACGTCATTAGACATTTTTCAATTTAAAGATCAAAGACGCGTCATGAAACAGCTATTCAATACAAACCTCTGTTTGAATTTCCTTCAATGCTTTCATCATCTCTTTCGCTTTCGACAATACTTGAGGGACCACATAAGGTGGTTGCTGCGGATTAACAGAACCTGTAGCTGTTTTAAGAATCTCGCTTGATTCACTTTTCGTCTCTTCAATGTTATCCTCCACTTTGCTGATACTCTCTGTGCTTTTTGAAAGCAAAAGTGCCTTCAGAGTCGATATTTCAGCTTTTAGCTCGGCAATAGACTGCCAATTACTCTGTTCAATCAGCGAGCTCGAAATCTGGGCAGATAAATTTTTACTCTGTAGATCATGTTCCTTCTTATCCAGCGACACGCTTAACTTGGCAAGCTCTTCAGTCTGTTGTTGTATAGCGGATGACACACTCGATAGTTCGGCCAGAAGAGCCTCATCTTTCTTTGCTTCCTGCTCCTTCTCTTCTTGTAATTTACTTGCCTCTAATAAAGGAACTACCGGTCGCTGCAGCTCCAAGTTAAGTCAGTAAATCCACATCATCATAAAATTCAAGAATTGATGACGAACCAGCCAAGGAATGTAACCTGATTGCACGGCAAAATTCCATAAAAAAGATAAAATAGAAGCTGCACCAACTAGAGACGAAACTGTCCAGAGTATTCGAGCATAGGCAGGAAATTGTGTCTGGTACTGTATGGCCCGAGCGGCATTCGTTACATGTGACAGTTGATGGTTTGATGCCACGGTTGGATTCGATATATATTTTGTTTGATGGCGTTCAATTGCTTCTTGAATCTCTTCCTTTGTTAATCCCTTTTTCTCTAGAAATGATACGCGCTCAGACAGCGGAGTTGCCTGCAGTAAACCCAGTGTTAAACTTCCTTAACAGATGTAAATTAGCTGATTGCACCTGAACGTTAGGATGCTGTAGGAAGTTAAGCCCATTCGTCACCATTTCTTCACGCATAGCGATAGAGGAAAATTTACAACGAAATTTTACCTAGATAACAAGCGTATACAAAAGGCTTTGTACGTAAAGTATACATCGTTCAGCTATCTATAATGTTTCCATTTCGGTGACCAGAAGGCTGTCGCAAATGGAAGGAATCAACTTAGTTCTGTTAAAGTTTCTACCATCTGTATTAATGAAACCTTGATGTCATCGTGTACGTAAGTGCTGTACTGATGTGAATCTACAGCGTACAATTGCATAATATGGAACATTGAGCTATTGCACTTTAGTTTAGTTGTAAATGCGTATAATTTTGAAGCGTCGATATGTATGGTGAAGATATATAACAGTCGAAAAAGACTTCTATATGCAAAGTGCACGTCAGCCTCGTTACACTTGATATCATCTGCAGTTGATCTAACGACCTCGTCGTGAAACAACTGTATCTGATGTCAGATGGAACATAAGATGTTCATGTATTTACCACCCGGGTAACAAGACATGCTTGGTACGCATATGTTTATTGGTAATCCCAACAGCATCACAGAGCCGACGACCAAAGATCAGATGAGACAATCTCCCGTCTGCAGGCATTTACCAGCTTCGTCACTGCGCTGGTGAGAAGCGCGCCGTAATCGAGCGCTAGAGGAAAAGCAGATGGCACCCGCCGTGAGGCAGCTGATGTTGAGAGCTCAGCTTTCTGACGGCTCGGGGCGAAGAAAATCCATTTCCGTAGACGAAGGGAGTTGGAATGACAACGAAATCATTCATCCTTCAAACGAAGCAACAGCGCGTCGCGCTTGCGGTGTCCACATTAGTAGGCTGCCCCCGAGAACAGTCGTTTATGTAAGGTTCACCCGTTGAAGAGACATGATTCAGCACATGAAATATTGGAGCGGCTATTGCTGCAAAAATTCGCATTGTCATTCTGTTTGTATAGGGTGTCGAATAATGCGGGTGCGTGACCACCAAAGCGTTCAAGGATTAATGATGATAATTGATTGTTATCGTTCATGGCTGATGTGCCAACATCATTTAGTGATCCAGAATGCATAATTTACTGGGCGGGCACTATTAGAACGAGATCAACTCACAACTTCGCAACAACACATTATATTGTGTACATTTCAAATCTGGTATAAAACTGCTGAATCAAAGTGGTTTTTGCTAATATGGTGCGATCATTCAGTTCAAGGAGAGACTCGTTGCACCACAAGCATTTACACAGTGACTGGTTTCCAAAATCTTTGTTTCTTACGCATCAGTAGCAAACTTGAACTCCGTTTGTAAAATATGAGCAGTTTGCTGTCTTCCAGATCTGCCGATTTCATGTTTGATGTATACACTGTTTTCTTTTATGGAACGCTCGATGAGCTGGTCTGAATGATGATATAAATGCGACAAAGACAACAATCTGAAACTTAACCGTTCCCTCTACGGGTTCAAACACGTGGCTCACGTGTGAAACAAGACCATTAACGATGTCATTCTGAAAACTGTGATCTTCAGCAATTGATTTATCCGTCTCTATTCAAAATCTATTTGAGTCTATGAGTTACATTCGCCTATACGTTGATGATATGCTTATCACGACCAGAACCATTAAAGTAGCGAATGATATCAAATATAATATAACTGACGATTCCGTATCAATGATTCAAATTGATCTTTGGAATGAAAATAAATCATGTAATATACAAATGGACGCTGACCATATCTCAAAAAAACTTCATCAAGGAAGTGGCTAAGCATTTCAATCAAATAATGCACGACCAACTAAGAATTCATGTGATAGCAGAATGAAGCTGAATCTAGCTGGCAATGAATGAGAAGAGAAACGGATAAGTAACCGCTCCGTTCATTGATGGGTTGTCTACTTTACATTGCCGTGGGGACCAGACCAAATGCATTTCATGCTGTATTTTATTTCAGTCAGTTCTTGGATTGCGCCGATCAGGCACACTAGAAGGCAACTGTTTGTGTACTTTGATATTTGTATACAAATCATCTTATCATATTTATTTTGAGGGGTCCGAAGCCATCTCCGTGTCACTTTGTCATGCAAAAGGGGGAAGCAATGTAGATGATCAGTGTCTTGTGTTTTGGGATGCTTGATGGTAACCAATTGTCCTTGAAGCAAAATTATGGAAGACAGATTCGTTTGAGCTCAGCTGAAGCAAAATACATAACTTTCAGCCTACGTACATCGGGAAGTGTGTATGCTTGAACTTTACCAAAATAGAGCCGTTAGACTTGACTGTTTGCGTCGGTTGCAAACAGTCTGGTCCACCGGTGACCGTTGAAACAGTCAGGGTACCATTGCCCTGGCTCACAATATAAGTTACGATGCACGTTCAAAATATATTCATATATAAATTAGCCACTATTTCGTTCGCGAGCGCGTCGTAAATGGCGAAATTGAAATCAATTGGAGACGATTCGTTCACTAAATTGCGTACCTCCAGAGGCATCACGTCCGTATTGGCTTTGGAGTCTAGCGCGATCGGAATTGTTACATAACACGCTCGACAATAGCGCGACAAACAGCATGGTTATTGCAGTTGACGTTGATGTTGAAGCATTAACTGGAAGCGTTCATGATTTTTTTGACTGAATTTAATCAGAAAGACGAACCAGGATGAAACAGGCATATACATTCACTTAAAGTTGTCTTTTCGGCTCCCATGTTGCACTAAAGTATCAATTTTCCAAACAGATCAAGCGTCGATTCGCACAGCGATGTTCATTCACCCAAAATGACATGATATTTTGAAATAAGACATAATCCTGGTTGGCTTGATGTTGTGACTGATGCGTTTTTGCGTCATATCGAGTATTAATCGGCGCACACCACGATGAGTAGGTCTCCAATTGATAAGGCGGTACGCACAACGTTCGTGTCAGGTGCCACGTATGTACAAGCTGATGAAAGCGTTGAGTATTGAGACCCCAGATGCCGCTTGATCAAAACATGCGGTTGCTCGTTTGTACCGCTGTGATTTATTCAAAGGCTTGCTGTATTCCACCACTGACCCTCTTGACACTCAATTTGCAGTTTTAGATCATGATGATGACCTCAAGCACAGAATCTTAAACGAGGCAAATGATACAGTCGGTCCGAAAACATACTGCAAGGTCACTAATGTATGATGGGCCACCAATACATCACTATGTATTTGTGGCTTATCATATACGTGCACACGCGTGAGACGTGTTAATTGAATAGACTCTTCCCGCAAGCGGCGACATCTTTGGCTAGCCTGCTGGCTCCGGCAGATTCTGGCACTTCCCGGTACAGGCTTTATCTTTGGGACTGCAGATGATATGTCCAGTGGCTGTCTTTGTGGAACGTCCAAGCAAAATGACTCATTATGATTCTGTCAGCGATAATGTGACCGGCGAAAAACCAACCAATCTGAAATGGTTTTGCCAACATGGCATACCGGGAGACATTGTATCAGACAGATGTCCGCGCTTTACAGCGAAATCTTGACAAAATTATTTGCGGTGTGAGACACTGCATTGAATATGTCAATCGACGACTATCTGCAAGCAGATGGGCGCGTGATCGCGTTGTAAATGATATCCTCCGAAGCACTTGAGCGGGGAGATCGCGGTGCTGAAGCGAGTCGCTTGAATTCCTTGCGTTTGCGTTGAATAACGTAGTGCACCCCTGTATAGACTTGCCTTTATTTTACAAGAATGATTTGGTGAATTGCCGAAAGCCATTGACTTTTGATAGCACAACAAAGTGGCTCTGTGCAAGTGACGGCGGGGCTGTCGATTAAAAGCTACTTGCCAATATTATCTCGACTAAACTTGTGTCGAAACATGTGCAAGCCAAATCGTGCTGTAAGCGTCAATGATAGATTCAGGTGAAGCACACATGCATTTGGTATGGGGCAAAATGTATTAATCGAATGCACTCAACCTACGTGCCCGCGGTCTATAAGCCAAAAGTTGTGACCGCGCTACATCGGACTGTGCAGGGTTGTCACGAAATTTGGTTAGCGCTAACTCTGATTATCGCAACGCCAATTCAAAAACATTAAGTGTTTACGTGTGCGTACTGAAGCCATAGCATGGCCCTCTACTGCGATCCAGTCGGACGAGAAGAGCTCTGTTGCAAACGAAGCAACGTCTTTACTTTCCCTTAAAGCTGATCCACCCTCTGCCATAAACAACGATACAGTTTTAATTCGCCTAGGTGCCTCAACCCAGGCACTGTGATGACGATACCCAACGATCAAATCCTGGATCTGACATCACTGCAGCCTCGGACGCACGACGTGATCTCGGAATTAGTCGACGTGTCTTCATAATTAAGGGAGCTCATGATGGCCAGCCGCGGGAGGTTCGACCTCCACCAGCACTGCTTGCTAAGCAATGAGCGGCTCACTGTTATGTGAAGCATCTGGTGGACCGGTGGATACGCAAGCGCTAATACGAGTCCTTGATATGAAGTGGAGAGGATAGACTTTCTCTAGAAGCTGATATGAGTTGAAGTTTATACAGGATCTTTGAAGGCAATATCGCGGTAATACAGGCAAATCTACGGTGGACTTTCGGTCAAGCTTTCTTTAAGGAGAGACAGGATCACTCGTCACAGCGCTCTTCAAACTAATTAATGGGGACCACCAGTGTCGTGATTTCGATACTTGGTCAGTAGCCGTAACTACTATTTCATGGAGACGAGCGGGTTTGTAAACAGAAGAAATCTGAGTTGTTGGATTTTCATTTCAAGGGCCTCATCATGCTTTGCACTACATACAGATAGACATTGACGCCCTTATTGGGCATCCGCTTCTCTAAAGCTAGCTTGCAAAGCTTTGAGACGAGTATGACGACGCGTTTTCCTCACTCAGTATGTATTGAGTACGGTACCCATCTGCACTTTCACCAGCTTCCAGTATCCACGGGCACTCTTCAACCATGGTCCGAATTATATCAAGCCACTGCCGCTCTTGGCGCAGGCGGTTATCCAAAGAAGTGATTGATTGTGGGATCAGGAAATGCGTGCGAAGCAACATTTGACGCTCGTTCTGCTCTCGATGTGAGCTGAACGCCCGTATGTATGAGAAGAATCCGCCTCGGCGCGGCAAGCATCTTGAAAAGGTACACGATCATATGTTCAGCCTAATGATTTTGGCAGAGTCGGTGTGACTCTGTTTCTTAGCCAGATTTCACTCATTGATGGTTAGCTGGACATCGTCATCATTTCCGCGTTGGTGCGTCTTCAAAGCAAGCTTTAACCGATCATCAAATCGTCATCCAACTTCACGAAGCAGCATTCGCGCAATACATTGAAGTTGATTTGATTCTCAAATAATTTACACGCTGATATTTACTATGACTATTTAGTGGATAACTATAATATCAAATTGTGAAAATTATCTTGTCTTTTGTATGTACACTAAAATTACATGTAAATGTAAAAAATGTATCAGCTTTAGTGTATTAAATCCCTATCATGGCGTCCACTAGGTCCGTCATCCTCCCTTAACGTAGCAAGACTAGTCGCTGATTGCGTATCTAACACTACGTTCAACTTTCTTCTGCAGTCACTCTTTAACTACAGTACAAGATGAAGATTATTTTCCATCGTTTCTAACAGCATTACAGTCCACTCCAAAGTCTGACAAGTCTAAAGAAAGCACTCCTAGCGTCCATTCTGAGTCCAATGTGCTATCATCAAAGGCAAAACCACGTCTTACTTTTGCAGAAAGTTTATCCATGGATCGTAGTAAACAGAGTGTAAAGATACCGGATGATTCACCCTTTAGCTTCGGCGGTCGTTACCAGGACAGTTTGGGCACACGCCGACGCAAAAACGGCATATCTCAACAGACTACTGACGATAAAGACACTGAGAATGATGATGTTCCCCCTCCACCAACAATGTCACTGCTACATCCTGTCGGATTTAACGCAGAGTCTTTTAGTGTAGACGATGAGGAAGCGGCAGCTGCTCGACGTAAAGCTGCGATAGCAAGAGATTCGTATTATCCAGACCTTCACAGCGACGAATGGGGGCAAGATAAACAGTACTGGGTAACAGTATTTGGCTTTCCATCGAGTGCTCAATCTTTCATCCTTCACCAATTTCAAGACATGGGTGAGGTTATTAACTACTCGAGTAGTAGTGGCGGAAATTGGCTTCATTTGCGTTACCATACAAGACTTCAAGCGGAGAAAGCTCTTAGCTATGACGGAAGAATGTTGGCAAACAGTATAATGGTTGGTGTCAAGAAATGTTATCCGTCTGATCGAAGCGCAAGTGAACTCATTGAAGCACCTGTTTCGAATTACTTTGGTGCTCAAACCCGTCAGACTTTGGGATCGAGAGATTTGGAAGTTGATCCCACAGATGCTGATATTATGCTTCCACCACAGCGTCGACAGGACATTTGTTCACGACTTTTGAGTTATCTATTTAATTGGTGACAATCCTGTCTTGATCAAGGATAAAGCAGAGTAGTCGTTGGGGAGCTTAAGTTGTAAGTTGACAAAAGGTTGCAATAAATATGCGCTTGACATGATACAACGAATTGGATCTTAACCCTTAAGCATCAAAGTTGATTACATTGAAGACTTTGCACGTCCTCATAAGCTTTTCAGTGTTGTTATGCATCACTAGAGCTCTTAACTCACCATGAATAGTATCGAGTGCTATGTGTAATATTTGAATCCATCAAAGTGGCTATATGTAATATTTCAAATCAATATCTTACCGAATTTTAAGTTTGTAATTTTCATCTGTCGCTCAAGATGCTGCCGTCTATCGTTCCCCGCATTCAGCAGAAGATTCTGGAGCATCAGATCGTGACAAACAGCCCAAAACTTACGTCCATATTAAGTCATCCAGCTGGTCCATTTACTGTGCATTTCTGGGCACCAACATTTAAATGGGCCATTTCCATTGCCAATATCGCTGACATGCGACGTTCACCTGAGCACATTTCAGTGGCTCAACAGGCCGCAGTAACTGCTACAGGTCTCATCTGGTCCCGCTACAGTTTGGTCATCACTCCAAAGAATTGGAATCTTTTTGCTGTCAACGTGTTTATGGCTGGCACGGGACTCACTCAATTCTATCGCAAGTTTACGTACAACCCGAAGAAGGTTGCAGATGCTGCATAGCTTAAACTTGATATCAACAGTTTGAAAATTACGTTTTGTAATTTGAAAAGTAAATACTTAAAAATAAAGTTATTTTTAGGTGACGAAATCACCAGGTTTAGACTGTAAGAAGCTAATGGCAAGAAAGGGTTTCAAGCGAATTTTTGTCGTGCTGACACTTGTTTTATTGAGGTTTCCCGAGGTTGTAGGTAAAAGAGTGATGACCATTAATCAGACATATCGACATGCAAAGGCAAAGCAAGACGCTGATCGACGGGCTACTGAATTAAAACGACGCCAAATTCTTGCTCATTCTACTGCTAAGTTTGAGTCTCAGCATCATCTTTTTAAAGACACGAAGAGAAATGATAGATGGAATCAGAGATACAACAATCAAGTTGATACATGCTTTTATCAGAATCGTCAAAATTGTGAAAAGTATTTGTACTTTCATGAAAGAAAACTATCTTGCAGAAGTCTACAATTCAAGAAAGATCACTCTCATGACTACTTGGACTACGAACGAGACTTTCATAGATTTCGTAAAAGGAAGCATCGAGAATATTAATGAGAACTTTTGATAATATACACTACAATTTTCAACTTTATCAATAGTAAAGGTAGTAACTTAAGTAATTGCTCGGAAAGAAGCAATTAATTGCAAGGGATATCGTCCTTCAAGCATTGGATTCCATCCTGAGTCAGTACAATCCGCAATATCTGGAATAACTGCTTTCATATCCTTGCAAATTGGACTTCCACCCAAAGCTATTTGCTCTCTACAAGTACTGGCCCATACTGACAATTTCTTTAACTTTGTGTGATCGAGACTTAAATAGCTGATTGATAAACTTTCTCTCATCTTAGAAGGAAGTGTTTCAATCACATTGTACGAGAAACAAACTTCAAAATATTCGTTCGGAAAAGAAACTGTTGTGAATAAATCGTTGGGAATATCTTTAAGTCCATTGTTTAATAACGACACACTTCTAACTCCAATCTGAAACAACGGAATTGGAAATTCTTTCAATGGAGTATGTTCGAGATAAACAATTTTGACATTGGCCCACGTTTCTGCTACTTCTTTTGGCACAACTTGAAGATTTGTTATTGACATTTCAATGTCATCAAGTAGTGGTGGAAATGGTTTCGTTAAAATACCTCGAGGCATCTCGCTCATATTCGTATAAGCCATGATTAGATAAACCATATTTGGGTGAAGATCAGCGTTGAGTGCAGCATCAATATCCCATTTTGTGATTGAAACGTTCCAAAGTTCGAGACCAAGTAAATTTTGAAATTGGCGAATAACTGAAGGCATCACAAAGTCTGAGCAGTGTGCAAAGACTATGACAGCAACAGAATCGCTCTGAAAGTGATCCAACGCATCGTTTGAAGGTGAAATTACACCATGATCGTAACAACTAAATTCAAGAACTGAGCAACTCACATTAACTGCAAACCACGGTCGAAGACCTTGTCGACATATTTTTATTGTATCTGGATCGACTGAAGTTGATAAGTGAATGGCGTTGAGATGCAATCCTAGTAAAAGAACTCCAGCAACAATAAATACAATGGGAACCACTACTCGCCTTAATATGACCCACCCAATGGCACATTCTGGTCGTTTACATTTGTATGAATATTTCACTGTATATGTTTGAAAACAATTTGGTTTCTTGTCAATCTCCGGCTTAAACGCTGCAACTGATTTTTTCGCGAAAACTTTTCGTTGGCCTAAGCGATTCTTAAATCGATGAGGTGATGAATACTCTAGGACGAGACTTATACTTGCTGTACCAAGCAAAATACTCAAGTGTGGAATCAATTTGGTAACACCATCAAGAAAATTGAGTGCGAAAACCGCTTGATTTTCATGAACTAGATTGGGGAAAGCCACATCGTCGTACAAGATTTCATTAGGAAAACTGAGTAGTTCTACACTAAAAGTTCGAGCGTAAGGTACAAAAATAGCAACAGGAAAAGCAAGACATGTCATGATCGTCAATAATGTATCAACCATAACGCAAAACGTCCGCATTCGAATTGAAACACCAACATTGGTCATTGCTAGAATGCCATTTGGTTCCTCTTTGATTGTGTGGATGTCAGACTTGAGCATGAAATAATCCAGAATTGGTGTAATCCAACAATTCAATACAACTGCAGCTGTGTACAGATTATTTATCCAAACTTGACCGATTAAAGTGCTATAATGATAGCACTGAACGATCTGTGCACTAGCTTCAGCAACCTTGCGTAGTAAAAAGATCTCTACAAAGTAATCTCCTTGAATATCTAGGATACCTTGTAAAGCTGCAATCGAAATTGTTTTCAAAAACGTGAGGATACCACATAAAGAAGAAATGTCTGATCTCGTATTTGTAAATTGAACGTGTCTTTGAATACATTGAAGTAATCGATTGACAATCTCAATACGTGGAAAGACAGTAAGAGATTGTGAGATTACGGACCATAACACATGAAGAATTAAAAGTATTTGGTGGAGTACTCCCAACCCCCCTCCAAGTGCTCCAAATAAACGAAAGTAGCGACGTTCTGGAATTGCGAGTAAGTTGGCGTAGTAAGCCATTAAAGGATCTTCCAGAAAAAAGTAAATTCGAGCTTGTATGAGAAGAAAAGCTGCACACAATCCATGACAAGACATGAGAAGTATCCATAAAACGATATACTCGATTCTTTGTAATGGATCACTCACTTGACGCATAATATTCAAAATGTTCGCGTTAGTGTTGGACATTGTGAAAGTCGACAAGTCTTCGTTAACAGGTTGTATCGGTCTTAGAAGACATTGAAATACTGCTATAGACTAGGAAGTAAGAAGAACAAATGTTGGCTATTACGGAACACTGCAAAAGCTATTTGTGAGTTGTGACTCTTCAGTGTTAAATGCTTTGAAGAATTTCATTAAACGTTTGCGTAACGAGATCAGTGTGATGCTACCAACTCTAGGAATTCGAATTCCATGAGTGTATTCTGAAATTACAATTGTTAGTCTAAACGATGTACTGAATACGATGTATGGAAACTCTTAGGTCTTCTCGTAAATACAAATCGCGTGCAGTTTGATTTCGTAGGGGTCCACCATTTGTACGATATTTAAACTAGCGATCAGTGTGACAGTCTTGATAGTTAGTAGAATTTTGGCTTCGCGTTCTTGAGACAGCCTTTGAGTTAATCCTCTTTGTATTCATTGACGCAAAACTCTATTAGTCGAGTAATTTCTCTGTATGATAAATCTGCCAGATGAGCCTAGTCCACATCATACACTTTCGAGCGCGATCTTTGTTTATAAGGGTATTAGAAATTGCGCTTTAGGACGGATTCAGCCGTGAGTAGATTGTATTATATATCTCTCATATGACAGGAGGGACAAGGAGATGTCAATGTACTCGAATATTGAGTTAGATTGAAATCGAATCTAACTCAAAAGCTGAGCACAATGACATCACCTTGTTATTTCGGCGGGCGAAAGTGCGTATTGACTTCACACCCGAAGTATCAAAGTTATGCATAAACTAGCGGTTTCAGTGCAACTTTCAGGATCGCACCGTAAGACTAGCGGATTTTGGTTTAACTGCTTCTGTCGCAACGTACACAGTTATGGCTCTGCATTTCCGATATTCCTGCGTACAAAAAAATTGATGTTTGGTTATCATCGTGAATTCACGACACTTTTGAATCTATCAGAAGTTCCCAAAGCTTCACAAAACCCAGACTTTTTCAAATGTGTGCAGTAACAAGAAGTATTATATAGACACCTAACTGATCAAGCGGTTATGTGTACCGTTGGGTGGTTGCAAGGACCTGCTTAGGTCTGCCTATGCTTTGCGAGAGGCAAAGCCAGCAGTCACGATGTAATACTATTTCTTAGTTACTTGAGGTCGCAGCTGCGAGGATGAGTATTTTGTCAGTATTAAGCTGTAATATGGGCAGGCGACTCTGTAAATTGACGATTGCGGTTCTGCAACTGACAGGTGCAGCAAGGCCAAAGAATTATGTATTAAACAGGGCTTAAGTTAGTCTTGTTTTCTCTTCTGTTAGAATCGAGGGCGCGATATTTGTCTCCAGAACACAATAGTACCAAGTAGGTCTATGAGTGCTATCACTGTATGGGGTTCAAGGTCTTTGCGCAGATATCAAACTAGCACCATCTCAAAAAGCGCGACGATTAGTCGGAGTGAAATCCCTACGAAATGTATTTGAATCATCTACAAAAAAATCATTTTAAAAATATCGTTTTATAAATGTTTTCAAGAATAGCATCACGTCTTCCATTTTCAAACAACCTTCTTCTCATCCCAATGAATTCTAATCCTACACCTCTTGAAGCACTAGTAAATGCAGTAGCTCTTCCTCATGTATATACTCAAGCCGAGATGATTCGTACATTGCGTCGTAATCATGGAGATATCATGCTTTCAGCTTTTCAATTAAAGGAAAAGCACGCCTTTCGATCTGAAATGCACTTTTTGAACCTAAATGTCGGACTTCCCACTCTTCAAGAAGAGCTACGAAAAGGTTACGCCCATTTATTAAATGATCCCGAGAATTTTGAAGGCTGTGTCGTTCTTTTATTACAATTGCAGCATTTTAAACCTGCTTTTGGAGATGGTGAGAAATTACAACGACAAGGACACGGTGCAGTTGATGGATCGGTTGAAAGTTCACTTGAAAATGCACGTCGATTATGTGTGTATTTGATGGATTTAGCTGTTGAACTTATGGAATCTCGTAATGCACCGGGTATTGTCTTTCTTATTGATCTCGAAAATTGTTCGTTAGTGAATTTGGAAACTAAAATGTTTCGAGATATCTTACAACTTTGTAAGAAATGGTATCCTGAAGTGGTAAAACAGATTTTAGTTCTTCATGGTTCAGCATTTACGAAAGTTTTATCAATTTTTTTGTCGAAACTATTAGGAAAACGTACTCAGGAACGTCTTCGAGTGATAAGTGATGTAAGAGAATTGAATATGATATTACCATTGACAGCCATTCCACAGTGTTATGGAGGTAATTATATGATGATGCATCCATGTATATGGATGAAGAAACAAGCTGATGTTGAGGATGTTGATCTTGATGAAGAAGAAGATATTGGATATGGATTGGAAGAGAACGAAATGGAGTTAAATGAGAGTCTGAATGGAATGGAATATGCAAATGTAAGTGCTGTAGATGTGTGTGAAATGCGAAATAGTATCCTTCGTGGATCATTGATGCGAAAGAAGATGGATGGTGTATGGATTCAACACTTTGCAGTGCTTCGTCCTGAAGTATTATTGCTTTATGAAAAAGTTTCGAGTCGTCGACCAATAATTATTGTTCCTATTAATTATGAAGTACAAGTCATGACTGTATTATTACATGATAAGATGAAAGGTTGTGGATTTCGAATTGATATTCCTGGTGTTATTGGAGGTCATATATTGGTCGCAACGAGTGAACAAGAACGTGGAAATTGGTTACAGGAATTACAATGGGCAATTAATAAGAATCAAGAAAAGGTGAAGCAACGAGAAGAACAAGAAGAACGTCGTGCAAAGATTCATCGTGATTTTCAATCACTTGATATGATCAATTTCGACGTTGAGCTACCTATAGCTCAAACTCTTCCAATGCAATGCAATAATTCACAATCTTCAATATTTCCACAACAATTATTGTCGATGGAATTTCCAGCTCATTGTCCTCAACAAACATTGCAGAATATGGATAACTTACAACAGAGGACAATGTTGATGCAGCAACAGATGAGGGTTGGAACGTATGCGCAAGGTATACAACAGTCAAACATGTCGATGAAGATGCAATCATCATTACCAATAAATGTACAACAAGGAACAATAAATATTGATCACCAATCAATACAGCAGCAATCATTTCCGTCCGGACAGCAAGGAATGACTATTCCTGTATCATCAGGTTCTCATTTCGAATTAAAGTCACTACAGGAACAACTTTTAAGTAACTTTCGTACTTAATTGATCGTACAATTGTGCGCTTTTTATTGTATTTATAGCATAGTGTAGGTTTTTTTCTCTTTAGCGTACAAACGTCTATAAATCAACTTTCCATGACTAAATCTCTTGATTGTCTACCTCATCTACGTGTCTTCATCGACCTTTCACTGCTCGTGTTGTCTGTTTTAATAGCATTTGTATTGCACCATCAAATAAAGAAGAAGAAGTGTCCAATAAATTGCGAAAAAAATGCACTGTACGATCATTTCAAATCTCAATGTCGATGGCAAGTGACTGGTATAGCTCTTGGACTTGTGATGTGGAGCATTTTTGGATTCATATTGTGTGGAACTTCTGGTTGTTTGACATCAAATTGGCTAGTGATACTCTGTTTGTTACTATCTGGAGTTACTTTGCTAATAGGAACGTGGATGATTCTACGAGAAGCTTTTCTAACTATTGATGTTGACGTAAGTAACATGTACTCATCTTTAGAAATTGCACGACTAATTCATTTTCTTATACAGATCTTTAAAAATATGATTCAATATTTCCGATGTATGTGCTGTTCGAGAATAACTAAACGAGCTTTACTACTTCCAATATTAATTTTATTGATATTACTTAATCTAGTCGATTGGCATCATATCAAGGCGTGCAAGACATCAAAAGTCATTTCACCATCAACATATTTCGCTGGCACTATATGTGTGTATTTGACAATGTTACTAGCAACAATGTTGACTGTATGTTGTCCAATCTTTCGACATTCTCGTCTCAAGTATTCACGATCAAATAAAACTGTTGTGGTACTTGGACTTGCTTTATTTTCTCTTACATCTATCACTTGGTCCATTGTTGGATTATTCAGCATCATAAAGCGTCATGAAGATCCTTTTAATTGTTGGAATGACCATATAGTACTTAATGCGGCACGATGGAGTATTCTACAATTACTACTTCTGGGTAGTATACTATTTCTTACGACATTATGTTGTCGATTAGAATATTTCTTTCTTGCAGCAAATATTCCGGAAATTAAGAAAAATTACCAAAAAAAACCTCAAAAGCATTCAAGTGATTGTTTAATCTTAAAAATCAAAAAAAAATTCATGCATTTTCATGTCAAATTGACTCATTCCGTATCAATTTGTTTGCTTCATAGCAGTAGCCATTTGTACAAACACATTCTGATGATATTCCCATTCTTCTTTAATCGCATTCACATGCTCAACCTTCATATCATCAGCCTTAAGCTCTTGAATAGCTAAAGCACCACGTTGAAGTAATGCCTGAAAAGCTTCAGCACGTGCTCGATTGTGTAAAACAAGTGAAAGTGATTGAACATTGTGACTATCAAGTGCACGTTGTAAACACTCGACAAGTAATTCAAGTGGTGGTGAAGGTGGTACATAAAGTAACAAAAGTACTAGTGTCTGACACAACCGATCATCATTGTCCTGATAACTTCCACCATTTGTTATTCCAGATAATAGATACGTGACAACATGAGGTAGAAGCACAAATCGAGCGGATGGATGTAATAATGGAAGGGCACGACTGACCAAAATCTTTCCTTTACTTACCATCAACATCTTTTGTAGCTGCTTTAAGTCACAATTCATAACACCATGTGGTTCACTTTCTTTCGCATTATGAGTCACATTGACACCTAGTAGAGCAGCAAGTTCGAGAAGTAATAACGTGGTCCGTGATCGTAATTCAACAAGAGCGATATCCATCTCATCTTCACACATTGAATGAAATTGTTGCACGTTAATACCACGAGCATCTAATAAATGACGAGCATCTTGTAACGAAAGCAAACACTGCATTCCACGATCCAGCTGAAGACGCAACGTCCATGTATCATTTGCAAAGACAGAATTACGACTAGCATTTTCACTCATTTTTAAAACTTTGGCAGCTTGTGCTTCTGCTGCAACAACCAATGCACCAGGGCTTGAACCACGCAAGTGTTTGGAACTAGCAGCTTCACTACTTGACTCAGCTGCTGAAGATACCGCATCATTGCTATCACCACATAATGCAGTACATTCTGGATCATTTATATTTGATGGAGCTTGAGACAGAGTAGATATATCCTTATTAGCTAAGTTGAGCAATTGCTTCGGACGATATAAACTACTCTTAGTGTTACGTCCAAGAACGTGATATTCATTCTCCCAATTCCTTGACTTCACTTCGCGTTGTGCATCACGTGGATCAACTGATTTGACATGCTGTAACTTCCAAGATGGTAATGGAACGGATGCATGACCAGCTCCAGTACCTCGATTGCGTTTCTGCATATAATTATGAAAATAATAATCATCACTAAATGGATCACTTGATCGTAACCATTTCATTTGTTGCTGCATGACAAAATTCACATCACGTGGGGTCATCATTTTGAATGAAAATGAATGCAGTTGTGGTAATGGCTGATGCACACCAGAACGTCCAAATGTACCAGGAGGACCGACAAATGGCGGACGCAGTGGAGGAGGTGGACCACGTCCGTGATAATGCGGTGGAGGTGGGTGCAATCCTTGAGAAGGCATAGATTGGTGACCTTGGATGTAAACAGGATGTGGTGGACGGTGCTGCATGTGAGGTGGAGAAGGCAAATACTGTTGCTGTTGTGTGTTGGATGGCACTGATTGTAGACCATAAGCATTAGGTGGTTGAGTCGGCGACATAGGAATAGGTGGTGGGTGTGGAAGCGGAGGAGGAGCCTGAACTGGTGGTTCGAATGCCGTATCGTCATCATCAAGACCCAGTCCTTTTAATCCAGGTACTTGACTCTCATCCAATTCCGTATCTTGATCCAAACTTAAACCAGGGGGTGGCGCACGTTCATTAGCTCCCGTTTTCTCACCTCCAGAGCCTTGAAACTTTTCCTCAAGTCTGGAGAATAATTGTTGACCTCTTGCCCACTTTAAATCCTCCGACGGTGCTCCTAATCCTGGTGGTGCACGAGAAGATTCGACATCAGTCTTAGTAACATGTTTTGATTGAAATGTTCCCATAAAAATAGCAGAAAAAGCGTCATTGAAAAAAATTGACGAGCCGGTATCACTGGCCTGAGCGCTACTTTCTATAGGCCCAAGTAGATCATGAGCACGCAAATCTGCTAGTAACGATTCGTACTTGGTATCATCTACACTGCCATTTGAGAAAAAAGCTGGTAATTCGTCTAAAGATGAATCGAATAGCGAATCTTTGGAAGCCATAACAGGCGTGTAAGACGAGATTGTCAAGATGTCTAGAGCACGATTTGAATTGATCTAATAAATGTGATTAGTATAAGGAAGACATAGACGATATATAGAGAGATAAGAGTGAGATATTCAAGTGAGTTTCAAGCTTCTAGAGGCGAAAGACATGCACATACCTGGCAGATAAATGTTCTGGTCTGAACGATCTCCCCTCAAAATCCCGTTAATACTATTAGGAATGATATATTAAAATAATAGTAAAAAATGTAGCCATGTTATCGTTTCTTACTCTTCTTTGCTTTATAACGTTTAATCTCCCGGATTAGACCTAATAAAAATGGGAGAATGAGAGGAGCGAGAAGTGGTGCGTAGACACCAAGCATTTGTTCTTGAGGAAAATAAAGTTGTCGAATCATTGTATGATCGTAATACGCAGCGTCTGTTAGTTCGGAAGCCTGACGAGCCATTGCTAGAAGAGTATGCAGATCTGACGGCTCGACACATTCATGTTGCCATTTTTGATCACAGAGAATAGCTTCAAGTCTTGTGACAGCTTTCTGGACTCGAACTTGAACGCGTTCTAATACACTCAATTCTGGTAGTGTCTCAACAAGCTTCAATGTAGATTGCAATGTCTCAATTGCTGTCTGCATAAGCATTGTAAAGCGTTCGCGCATGATAACATCCAACTCCCAATCAGCAATACCATCGACAGAAGACGGTAGAAAGAGCAGTTGTTGTCTTGGAAGACCATTTGCTGCATTCTCTTGCTGTTGTCGATGAAAAAACGATGGTACGCCAAGTAATGTTCGAAACTCTGTGATGAATAGTCCCATTACTCGTTGCAATTCGTACATTCGTGTTGTCATTGAAGAAGTACTATCGAGCTTAAAAGGGTTGAGAATTACCACAATACCCCATCCCGGCAGCTCAAAAGCTGTTGCCAAATTAGCATTGTCCTCTTCTGGACGAATAAATAACGGTGCGTGTTGTACGTCCGGAAGTGCAGCCATAAAGTGCAGCACTTGCTCGCCATCGTCCAACACTGACGCATCTAGATAGTCATTCGTGCTTTTGAACTACGCGAAAGATCGAACATCAAGTGTCAATAGTTAACCTTTAAAAAAGAAGTCGAAAATATGTCACTCACATGCTTCAAGTCGTTTGCATTAATGTGGAATTCGGTGCCGTCTGAATTTGAAGTAACCTCCTTGGCAAGTCTCGCGTACTGAATCACCTGCGTTTCTACCGTGAAATTGGCAAGTGCTCCAACTTTGCGCACGAAATGACTTAGATACATATCTACAAGCATCTGTAAATTCTCATTCCACGGTGTCAATGGATTTTCCTTAAGCAATGAGAACTGCAGACGATAGCGCAATGCTCTTCGCGCCAATTGTGATTTGGTATTCTGGTTATCACGCTCCATATCGTCTTGAGGGTACACATGCGTTCGAATCAGCTTTTCTAAGGCAATATGAACTGCACCCCCTTCAAGTAGTTGACTATCCAATGACCACGCGTGACGATACTTCCCTACTGTCAGAATTGGAGATGCCGAAGCTGCATTCTCATCGCCTATTAAAAAGATACTGAAGTGCTTGGAATCTTGTGTCACCAACGTCTTCAGCGCATCATCCGTTGCCTGTGGACCATTGTTAAGACCAAATTGCAGCATCTGCTTCTGTTCGGTGCTTAGATGCATAGAATGTGGTACGTATACAATGCTAGTAATGCTGGAAGACGGCGGAGGTGACGATACTGAGCCAAAACTGTAGATATCCACGTAAAATGTATCGGGTGGTGTCTTAAAGCGCGACGCCGCCCATGATAATTGCTGGATGCGCGAGACAGGAAGTTCTACACGCTCTACTTGTGTTAAAAGCCAAGCCACAGGTGCTGCAAGCAGCACAAATAGCACGAATGTTCCTACGATCTGCAGCCGTGTGCCTGCCATGCGGACTAATCAAATCGTATCGGTATTTAAAAGTAAGGGTTACATATATAAGTATTTTAGTGTACCACATGACACTAAAGTAATGAAGTAAACTCTTAACTTCAATGCAAGTTGATTCCTTAATATCTAATTAAATTTAAAAAAAGCGCTTGTGTTTGAACTTGTAGCGCTTAAACTTTCCTTTCTTATTATAGTAACCACTACCATACGCAACACCTGGATAAGCAACGTAATGAGGCTGAGGTACCACACATCCACCATGTGAGAGCGTCGCTTGTACGAAAAGATGACGTCCTTGAGCAGCATAGTAGGCTTGACTATGGTATTGTGGTGGAGCGTAAACAGTAGGAGGTACAGGATAACCTTGAGGGTATTGAGCTGGGCCTGGCGGTGGGTAACTTTGCAGATATGGCTGTCCAGGAGGTTGATATCCTTGCGGATATGGCTGACCTGGATACGGATATACGTGTGGAGGTGGATGACCTTGAATAGGTGGATATGGCTGGCCAGGAGGCGGGTAACCTTGCTGATAAGTACCTAGCGGCGGCGGATAGTTCATTTCCTTCAATATGAATTTGCTGTGTGGTATTTGTAGTCATAATTTACCAGTGGGGTACCGGTAGTATGCGTCTTTTCCAACATAACGCCAGTTCAATGTAGCCCTAATATTAAGGTTTGCGATTACACTATATGAAGATTTCATATCACTTTACGTTTCATTTAAGTCTTTTAGTAACTTAATTCGTAAGATGGCCAGCAACCAGAACGAGTCTGTGACGGACACTCCTGTGTTGGAGGAAGCCCCGCGCATCGAACAGCCGATTGAGAATAATAATCGTGGAAACTTTACACGTAATCTGAACAAGGAGGCAGATGAGAGCGTAGCACGCAAGATGTTCTTTGGCGGGTTGGCATTTCTGCCATGGCTGCATCTAGTCAACGTTATTTTCTACCGCAAACAGCTAATGGACCCCAATCTTGATGCCAGTGTTACATTATGTGCGTATTTCACGTTTCTTGTATTTGACACATGACGCAGTGTTAATGCTTAACTTTTAGGGGTGCGACGGTCACTTCTAGGTTTCTGCTTCTGGACAATTATCTTCATTTCGTGGGTGCTTCTTTTTCAATTAAATTGGAAAGAATTTGGCTGGCAACGTCTTGTCATGGTTATACCTGATGAGGATGAGAATGCAGGTTGGTGAGTCAAGTCGAATATTTGTAGAATTCGCGAGACTTTTATTGTACTACTATGAATAATCTTTCTCAATGTCATATTCGTACTTATCTCAATTATCGAAGTGCCACGAAAGCTATCTAAAATTCCCCATATTACTTAAGCGTCATAATGAGCGCTCCCATTCTTTCCATCGACACGCAGCATGAAGACATGATTGTACGTCAATTTGCTCACTTGTTTCTGTATAATTAAGTGTTTAAATTTGAATTCATTGCATCATCTTCTTGCTCCAATCTTGTGGCGTGATAGCATGACGCGCAACTTGATTACTATGGTAAACGTCTAGCTACATGTTCTTCTGATCGTACGATTAAAGTCTACGACGTCACTGGAGATGTGCAGAATAATGAGCAGATTTTAACGGGGTACGTCATATTATCCTTTTTATTGTCGATTCAGCCATATCAATTCCTTCTATATACATTATAGTCATGAAGGTCCTGTATGGCAAGTATCATGGGCTCATCCAAAGTTTGGCGTACTCTTAGCAGCCTGTTCATACGATGGAAAGGTGATTATCTATCGTGAGCAGAGCTTGAATCAGTGGACACAGGCTTATGTGCATGCCTTCCACGAGTCCTCAGTTAACAGCATCGCCTGGGCACCACATGAGTACGGACTAGTACTAGCTTGTGCATCAGCTGACGGAACTGTCTCCATACTTAGTTACTCACGTACGTAGTCTGTGCCCGTGGAAACGCATGTGAATTAAAATAATTTTTTGTGCGTCTATATAGCTGAAGGTTGGAGTGTGAGCCACTTTAAGGATAGTGCATTGGGTTGCAATGCTGTGAGCTGGGCACCATTTCACTCGGTGGGATCCCAAAGTCCGACGGGATCTATTCGCCGTGTAGTTACGGCGTCTTGTGATAAGACGATTAAGATATGGAGCCTTGCAGAAGGCGAGACGGAGTGGACTAAACAAGAGCTTAGTTCAGTTCCCGCACATACTGATTGGGTACGAGATGTTGCGTGGGCTCCAAGCACAGGACTACCAGTGAATCTCATTGCTAGTTGCTCCGAAGATAAACATGTGTATATCTGGTCGCAAACTGCAGAAGACAGTGCTTGGAAGCGTGAGCTTCTTCACACGTTCGATGCTCCAGTATGGCGTGTGAGTTGGTCCGTCACTGGGAATGTACTTGCTGTCTCATCCGGTGATCACAAGGTTACGCTTTGGAAGGAAACACTTGACAAGAAGTGGATGTAATGTGCTGCTTGATCGTTTCTTGATATATTATTGATATCTTTACTGACTAATTTCTTATATCTTTGTGTCTATTGCAGTCAAATTTCGTCTGTAGATGAAGCTGGCGCCATTCATAATGGCAATTAAAGATGCACTAGAAGACATGATCAAGATTGAGTGCTGTTTAAAGGCTCGAAACTTGAATTTTACAACCCGATCAGGATGACAGTTGACGTAACAACATGTGAGACACGCATAAGTTATCGGTTGTATTTCTTCTTCTACTATACTAGTGCAATTATTTTCTATCCTTCAAAATTACGTGTCCAGCGTTGTTGAAACTTTTCCTCAATTGCTTTCACACACTTGTAGTGAATTTGATGCTCGTGATTAAATCGCGAAAGTGTCATCTGACTTTCACTTGAATGCGCTTCAATGATCTTCCAATGTGGATCTAAAGGGTCCAATCTCTTGCTTATCAATGCACTACGTCGTTGTTCGACCATGCGTAAATACCCAGCAATCCACACATCATCCACAGTTACACACACAGATGGAATATCTGCTAAAGCTTTCACATCCGTAAAAAATCCGCGTCGATATGCATTACCGCAGCATGCTTGTAAGATATCTACAAAGCGTCCATTTGGGCGCATAAAATATGGTACGTAGGCAGGCACGACACCCACTTCGTGCCACATAGGTAGCATTCCCCATCCACAAACGCCTAAAGCATCATCTGGCTTGATCTCTGCTTCCCAGACTAATGATGACACTAATTCTGGTGGATATACAAAGTCGTCATCTAGTGTAATAATTAATGTTGATGAGTTTTTCTCAATCCGTAAAGCTCCAAGTAATTTTGTGGCTGGACCATCATCGACACAACGATTTACTTGAACCAATGGTGCGAGTTCTAAAAGCTCAGACGGTATCTCTGTATCATCGTATGAACGTTCAGGATGTCGCTTCATTTGACCTTCTGGAATGTTCACGTATATTTGATCCGGGACGAGATTTTGTTTAGTTAATGATCGTACACTATCCATAACCTTGTGTAATCGACTAGGTGTTGTCGTAAGTGAAACTACAACACGAAATGATGGTCTCCATGGTGGTGATGGTGGAAGATCGTCGACGGTACGACCGTCGTATGGTCTTGTAAAGAAAGCTGTAGCTACAGGTGAGATACTACCGTAACGTACCAGCAATTGAGTGTACCCCCAACATACAAGAAATGCACAGATCGCAAGAAGCGTACGTAGTAATGTTACATGTCGTAGCCACGAATGTAATCGTTTACTATGACGTGGTAACACTGGTTGCCGCATGAAAATACTCCAGTCGCGGCTTAGGCGAGTAAATGTCGACGGACCCATTGCGTTTCGTCGGTTTACATGAATGAAACAGACGATGTGGTTCACATAATTAAAAGTTGAGATTCTCGCAAATGAACTGGTTTGGGCGGAAGAACGCGACACCTGTGCGCGCGGCACCCGTGGCGACAGCGGATACGATTCGTAAATTACGTGAGCAGCTCGACTCGCTAGAAAAGAGAGAATTACATATTGTGAAAAAGATTGAATTACAACTGCAAGAAGCGAAACAGAAAAGTGCGGCTAATGATAAGCGTGGTGCAATCTTTGCGCTGAAACGCAAGAAAATGTATGAAGCTGAGGTTGAAAAGCTTCAAGGATCACGCATGACTTTAGAAACGCAAGTTATGACACTTGAAAGTGCGCACGTTAATATGGAAACGTTTACAGCGTTACGCTCAGGCGCTGAACAGATGAAAGCTATTCACAATCAGATGAATGTCGATAAAGTGGACAACATTATGGATGATATTCAAGAGGAAATGGCGACAGCGGATGAAATTGGGCGTGCTATCTCACAGCCACTTGGCTCCCAACTATATGACGATGATGAGCTGGAAGACGAACTGCGCGAAATGGAGGAACTTGAGCTGGAAGAGAAGACGCTTCAACCGATTGCTGCCACTTCTAAAGAACCAACTAAAGTTGTACCTGCGCCTGTTGCAGCTACTTTAGCAGCCACTGCAGCGGCGATATCTTCACCTCCGATCGCGCAGTATAACTTGCCAGATGTACCGACACACGCGATTGAATCCAACATAAACGTGGTCGGTAGCGCAGATGAAGACGAATTAGAGGCTCTGCGGAACCTCGAAGCATCCATGGCGCTATCACGCGTATCATAAGATTACAAGAGCAGAAGAAAAAGAAGCTTTACTGCTTTAATTATATATGGCAATAAGAAGAAAGTAGCTGCGTACTTGCTTTTGTGTTGAAAGAAACAGCTTTGTACTCGATATAGCAGTAAATAATTGGTCTCAGGCAGTGTAGGAACAGATAGACAAAGGTCGCCAATTCGATTTACTCCAGCCCTATCTATGACGTTGCATCTATCTTTTAACCCATTGAAATTTCTTACGAGCCTTAGCTTGACCAGCCTTCTTCCTTTCGACCATACGTGGGTCACGTGTGAGTAGTCCTGCCTTTTTAAGTGCAGGACGCATCTCGGGATTGAATTCCTGTAGCGCACGAGCAATGCCGTGACGCACAGCGCCAGCCTGGCCAGTCATGCCCCCTCCTTTAACCGTAGAGTACACATCAAATCCACCAATTTGCTCGACTACTGAAAAAGGCTTTAAAACTTCCTCGCGATGAAAGTCACGCACAAAATAATCCACAAAATCCTTCTTGTTCACTTGAATACGACCCATTAAAGGCTGCGCGGCGGGTTTAATCCACACACGTGCAGTACTTGTCTTACGACGACCGGTGCCGTATGCACGACCTTTTTCGTCAACATTTCGTACTCGTACAACCTTATTCTTCGCCTCATGAAAGGCAACACGAGCTGCTTTAGCACGGGTGGCACGTTCCTCATCAACACTAACCATATTGCGTACAGATTGTAGCCACGTCGGCACACCCTCTTCAGTAACAGCATCCATATCTCCATCAAAACCAAACCATTTTTCACCATCTTGCGCCCCCCAACGCTTTTCGTCAAAAAAATCAGCGTTATGAGCCAAATAAGCTTCAAGACGACGCCGTCTCTCAGCCGTGGAAATGCCTTCCTCGTCAATAGGTAGAAGCTCTTCTACCTCCGCATTATGCTCGTCACCTGATTCCGACTCGCTATCAGATTCGGATTCGGAATCAAAATCACTGTCGCTGTCACTATCACTTTCGCTGTCGTCTTTAGACGTGAAGAGCTTGGAAACATCATTCTTTTTATCGCTGGATTTATCACTTAAGAAGCGTGCCATAGGTACCGATACACCATTTAGCAGTGGTTGTACAGTTTTTGGATGTAATGTGGTCACCGCTGCTGGGATAGCTGCCCGCGCCACACGACGTGCCGTTAGTACAAGCACCTTCATGCTCTCAATGGCTCGCGTATGTGTGGCCAGACAAATCGTTTGGGTATTTAATTATTAAATTTGAAGCATTCTGATCAAAAAGTGATGAGTAATAAATTTTTACATTTAGGCTAAAATGAAATTTTGACTACTACTATGAGAAATGATAGTCTTCATGTGCAGTTGGAAATCTGAGCTCACGATTTTGTAAAGCTCAAACGGATTGAGCACACCTCCTAAGTAGACCTTGCACCACTTAGGTGGCAGCATCACTGTGAGCATCTGCGTCAACCTTTATCAAAGTGAGCACCATGTCAAGCTAAAAGCCAATTCACCTAGCTCAATTAGTTAAAATAACAGCTGAGCTTGC